CTCCATTGGTTTTTTCCATATTTCATGACAGCAGCTTTCAAAATCTCATCCTCTGTGTTACGCCAAACACCACYTTTTATCATTATACGCGGCATTTTGATTTATATATTATCGGTTTCTACTATTCTAAATATTTTTGTCGCGTACTTTACAATAAAGACGAAAACCAGACAAGTTTGTTTTTTCGAATCTTATTACCACTACCTTAAATTTGGCTTAAATTATACTAATAAAAGATCGGCTGTTTGCTACAATCGTCATTCAGCAACGTGTACGTCAACGATAGTCACGCCTCTTTTGGAGGTAAGACTAACTAAATTCTATTCAATTGAACCTTGTGCAAACGAAGCTATATACAAGGAGAAYGATCGAGATAGGCGTTTGCGTCGGATTTGTGTTGTTGAAAGGGAGTGAATGTAGAGTACGATAATTATCCACGGGGGCGGCGGTGATGTTCTTAAGTTTAGATTTAARTACATGTGATTTTATAAATAAAACATATGAAATTAATAGTTCTCTTTGATGTTTTTTTTTTAACCCATTTGCATCATCGCTCTACTTAATCTCCCGCATCGAAACATCAGCGACGTTCAACAAACGACTGACGCGTATCACCACGCGCGATCGGTGTATGTGTTGTAACGGGCATCGCGGCTCGCGGATTATTCCGCGCTTGGTGATAATCGACTGTCGCGACCCACGGATTATTCCGCGCTTTGATGTAGATGGATAAGAATGTTCTTTTTAAACGATTGATACACAGTGTTATATTGCATTTTACATTTTTTTTACACAAAAGGAAAAACAAATATTTTTTTATAAATGAAATAAACTTATTTTAGTTAAAATAAATTAACGTTCGTGGAATTCTTTAAAATGGTCAATGCATAGTGCTTTATCACAAATGTGGCATTTAAAGACTGTCTCCCTTCGAATCGATTTACTTAGGCATAGAACGCATCGTTTTGAAGTTTTATTTCCTTTTGCTGGAATTGCAGGTATCCGTACAGGAAAATGTCTGCCAGTAAATCTCGTAAAGGAATCATTGACGGATGCCTTATCTACATTAATGTTGGGCAAATATTTATCTATAATTTCTTCGGCTAATAATTGTTTAAACACATGAAAGGCTCGATCTTTCTTCTGATTTTTAAAAATTACATAAGTATTCAGCAACATCATATCAATAAAATAAAAAAACATTTTTTTATAGGCTTTTTTACATCGTCGAACAGTATGAAATTTGCTTAACATTTGGTCGCCAACATCAACTCCACCCATATATTGATTATAATCTACTACTGCGGTTGGATTTAAAGTCTTTTGTCCAGTATATCGGTTTTGTTTTCCTGCTTCAACAAAACTTAAATCGTGCATGGTAGTAAGCATAACGACATCTTTCTTGTCCTTCCATTTTATCGCCACCATCTCTTTTGTAGTAAATATAGTAGCTTCCCCTTGTTGTAATACGTGTGATTTTAATTCTCGAGGCATTTCTTTCCTATTTATTCTCACTGTTCCACATACATTTGTTTTCATTTTATATAATTCTCGGAATAATTTTGGTGAACTGTACCAGTTATCAATGAATAAGCAATACCCCTTGTGCAATAATTGACTCTCTTTTAACAAATTGAATACAACATTCCTGCCAGCAGATCCTGTAGCAGTTTTATCTTTTCCTATATATATATTGAAATTATGTATGTATCGTGATTGTGAATCACAGACTTTATAAAATTTGATACCGAATCTCGCACGTTTTGTTCGAATAAATTGTATGTAATGTAAACGACTTCTACATGCCATTAGTGATTCATCAATGGAAATGTTTTTATTTGGGACATACATGTAAATGAAAGTTTTCTTTACAATTTCCATAACTTCCCGAATTTTAGACAGTGGGTTATTAGGATTATGTGTACTGGAAAAGTGTAAATTTTTTGAGATAGAAATAAATCGGCCACGACTCATGACATTCTTAAAATACGGAGTTTCTATACTTTTATCTGTTGACCAATAGCTTTGAACCGTGGGCTTGGAAATTAGACTCATCAAAATATTTACAGCAATAAATACTTTTAATTCGTCCCCTTCAATAGGTATGAAGTCTGCGTCGCTTGCGCCATACTTATTTGTTTCCGCAATTATTTTTGTAATTAATTCAGTGTTAAAAAATAGTTCAAAAACCTCCCCTCTTGACAAACCCCGTGTATTTATAGTTGCACCACCTTCACTTGTAAAACGATGTATAATCGGAGTATGATTTTCGGCTTTCCACACGTACTCTTCATTTATAAAATTATTGCACTGTTCATTTTCGTTATCAGAACTTGACGAAATCCTCCGGCAACGTTTTCTAGGACGTCGTACCTTATTACTTGATTCCGAATCAGGATACTCAATATCCATTGGGGCATACTAAATTTTAGATTATATTATAAAATAAGATTGCTTTCCAAACTGGGATTTTTTAAATTTAAATATAGATTGGCAACACTTACTGATAGTGGCAGTTTGAAAAGTTTTCATAGAAAAAGTAAAACTTTTTTAGAATACACTGATGTATATAAACTCAAAGAACTGAAAGGCTCTCACAAGCGGTTGAACGTRGTMTGATGCAACTGAAGGATATTTTGCAACTGGTAAGAATAAACAACGTAGGCTCGCGGATTATTCCGCGCTTGGTGATAGCTGACAGTCGCGGCTCGCGTATTATTCCGCGCTTGGTGATAGCTGACAGTCGCAGCTCGCGGATTATTCTGCACTTGGTGATAGTCGACTGTCGCGACCCGCGGATTATTCCGCGCATTGATGCAAATGGGTTAATTATGAAGCTTCGTTGTTTTAATCACGAAGCCTTAATTTTTTTACAAATGTGAATTGTAATTGAATTTTTTGTTTATGATGGTGAAATATTGTGTTGTGATGGATTGCATCAACAGTAAAGAAAAGAAGAAAAATAATAAGTTGAAACTGCAGAAAACTTCTCTTTTTACCGTACCCACAGTAAGTGTAACCTCAAAGCTTCATTTTATTTCAAATTAAAAAAACCGTTAAATAATATTATAACATACTTACAATTAATACCAATATTTTTACTGMTGATTTATTAAATCGTAAAAAATAAAAATTTTGTTTGCAGACAACTTATATTATAAGTCAATGGAGTGATATATTGAAGCAAAATTGGGACTTCGATCCAAAATGTTGTAAAT